TGAGTGAGCAGAGGAAACACAGGGTCAGGGAAAAGAGCAGCAGGAAGCTCAGCTCAGTGTTATTGGCTCTGACAATAGGTGTGTGTCTGTAACAGAAGAATATTCCCCCAATTGTCATAGTAAGACAACCCCCAAATATAGAAAATGTTACCAACAGTATCCCCATAAGTTCTTGGAAAGTAAGAAATTCAATAGTTTTCAAGTTACAGTCATTTCTTTCTTCATTTGAAGTGTATTCAGGAGGGCATGGGTCACACGTCACTGCATCTAAAAATGAAAATTTTGGTATTATTACTTTTACATTACTTTTATGAGGTGTTAAAAAGTAACAATTAGTAATAAGTAAAATAATAGTGTATTAGCACACGTTTCTTTTAAAATAATTAAAGTATTAGTGATAAAAATGTATGCTATAATCTCACTTGTGGTGTTACTGAATTCGCCATCTGCACAGGGGATACAGTCAAAGCAACAAATGGGTTTGCCTTTCACAAATGCTCTGCGGGTCCCAGGACAACAACTGTTACTGCACACTGACTTTGGTACCTGGAGGACAATAACACATGCAAATGCACACGTTCACATCAGTTCAGAGCAGTAATAATTTACTTTTAATTTTAATTAAATTTAAATTCAAGTAGCTTTGTTGTGTCCACATTGGATTTTTTTACTACTTCTGTGTCTTACCTCTCTCTGATCACCTGCCCAAATAGCACTGATGGTGTCCTTCATCAGAAATTTCTGTCCTTCTGACAGGGAAGCATCATACAGTCCTATTGTCTCAAACACTATATCACCCCTGGCACCTAGCTGCCAGTTCACCAGAGCATATCTGGCTACAGGGTCTCCCTGCTGATCAAAGTTAACTCTTTCCCCATGTGTGGTTGAGAAGTTCACCTTAGTCAAGTAATGTAGCACCTAAAGAAGATATTTGTATTTTTTAAAGAAAATGCCTGCTTAATCTCTATTGGAAATTGTGTGTATAAATTGAATGACTCGGTTACCTTTACCTGCCATGGTTGAATGTTTTTTCTGTCTGCGCAAGTTTTGTTCCAAAATGGCCCTTGTCCACTTCTGCACATGATAAGATTGTGGAGCGCATGAGCCACAGCATAAACGGCCCTGTACACGTTGTTAAGAAGGCTGGCATCTGACACATCGGTGAAGCGGGTCTCTGCTCCCCATAGAGACTCCTCTCCTGTGCAGGATTTCATGCTGCTCTGCTTCCTTGATGCCAACGTGCAGCTGAACACACTCTCCCAGAGCTCCACTAAACCAGTATTTCCAGGCCTGCTGGATGGACGGGCATCCATGAGAAACTCCCTCAGGCCTTGGATGTGCGCACTGGGGATGGCAAAGCCGATTGCACCCCCCACTACTGCATAACTCTTTGGGGAGGCGATATGCCTGTAAGTGATCCAGCCTTCGCTACCTACCCACTGGAAACCAGTCACGTTCTGTAGAAAAAGCTCTTCGATAAGGATATCCAAATCTGTGCCATCCGTAAAAGCAACTATAACTTTAGAGGTTGACTTTTTAATGGTTTCAACCGCATCAAGGAATTTTTGTCTAGGATCAGTTCTGTATATGGCCAGTGAGTATTCTATGCAGATTCCCTCTTTCTCAGCTGCATTGAGAAATGTGGTCATACCGTTGTTTCCATAGTCACTGTTGGTTCTGATGGCTCCCACCCAGTTCCAACCAAAGTGTTTGACCAGCTGGGCCAGTGCTCTGCTCTGGTAGTAGTCACTGGGAATGGTCCTGAAGAAGGTGGGGAACTCTTTTCTGTTGCTTAGACATGCACACGTGGCTGAATGACTGAGCTATAACCAACAAAATAAGCAAAAGTTCATATTTGTTAGCAGTTTCATAGATTTTACTTATCAAATGTGCTCAAGTGAGGGCAGCTTGGAGTTCATTTAGACACTAAAACCACAGAATAAAGTAAAAGACTTATTCGGGCACATGAAGTGTGGGGGGCTGGGGGTGCCTGATCAACTGACTCGCCCCATTTGCCGGGCAAAATTTACAGAGGGGAACCCCCCCACACACACATAAACACCAGGTCAACAAAATTTAGCCAGAGGATCACCCCCATTTGAGCACCTGTCCCTCAAAAAGTTTCTGCACAGCACCAAACCTATTATTAATGCCTTCTAATAAATCAACAAATAATTGTACTGGAAAATATTTATTTCAAACCTGAAAAGACATTAACCCCACAAATGAAAAATTTTCTTGACTTTTAAAAGTAGAGGTAAAGGGTTTTATTTTACTTACCACGGGTATATGAAAGGGTCCAACTGTTCTTGCAATACCTATAGTTGAAGTTGTTGTTGTGTCTCCAATCACAGCATGCACATTGGAAGGTTTCAGGCAGGCATTTGTCTCCTCCTCATGGCCATTCATCAGAGCCAATGAGGCCCTTACTGACAGGGGAATGCTGGGGCAAGAGTCATATATCCTGTAGCCCAGTGACACACCAGGGAGGATCTCTGAGCTGTTGTTTATCTCATCAATAGCAAAGATCATGGTTTGGGCATACTGCAGTTCCCCAGGATCCAGACTGTTTGGATGAATCAACAGACTTACCATAATGTTGACAATTTTATTATCAGGTTTTGTTAGTTATAATGATGATATCTACCTTTGTCCTAATAATCAAAAAACACTGGGTACTGGTCTTCCAGAACAGAGGACTACATGGAGTTATTGTTGACTGAAAAACTGAGTTGCAAGAAGTGATGAAAAATTCATTGTAATTTATTGCATTCCATTATTTTATATTTATGGTTTAACATTTCTCTCATTGTTCACATTTGTTACTACTTCATATTTTTAAATGAAACATGACGTTACTCATACATCTTTTTTTCCTCTATTTTTCAAGTGTATAATGTACCACAGTAGAATGCTTTCCCATTTAATTTTGCCTGGAAGCTTACAGTATTACAGTAACACTTAAAAACCACATGCATCTAACATATCATCTCGATTCAGGCTTACCCTTCACAACCGATGTTTCCTGGGTTGGCTTGAAGAGTGGGGTTTACACTCAAAGGGTTTTGATGAAAAGAGAAAATGCCTCCTATTGTAACTTCACCTTCCCTTGTAAACTCTGCCAGTTCTTTAGTCCCATGAGGTCGGCACACAGGCTGTTCAGCACCAATAAGCAAAACCAGTAAAAGCACATCGGCCAACAATAGCATAGTGACACTTGTGTGCCTCTCTTACCCACAGGTTCCCGAGCCCTTGCTTCAGCAGTCATATTTATACATCTCTGCAAATGACACAACCAGAATTTAACCAAAGACCATGTCTCTGGTGAGTGTCACACCTCCCAGGGGGTGTACAGGAGCTCTTCCAGGACGTGGCTACATGGAGGAGTTTGACCTTGTACTGTACCACCAGAACTGAAATGAAGAGTGGCAAAGCATTTCTCTTGCACTCTGTGATGTAAAGATAAATTATTTTGCCAAAATGTAACTGATCGTATATAGCAAGCAAAGATCCATGATTGAAATTGTAGATGAATACAAATGTCCATGTTTTATTGTGGGACCAGGATTCAGGTTTCCGACCTAGTTACATGTGTGTGGAGTTTGTGTGTTCTCCACATGTGGTTGCGGTTTTCTCCAGACGCTCCCTACAGTCCAAAACAAAACATGCTAAGGTGAATTGGAGAGGCCAAATTGCCGTTAGGTGTGAATGTGTGTGCAAATGGTGTGTTTGCTCTAAAATGGGTTGGCGTCCCATGCTGAGTTATTCCCCATGTTGTACAGAATAGGCTCTGGGCCCCTGCGACCCTGCAAAAAGCAAGCAAGCACAGAAAAGTGATTGATGGGCTACAATTGTTATAGCATTGCTGTCATATTTTTAAGGAACAAAAAAAAATTAATTTACGAACAATAAAGTCACATTGTTTAAAAGACTGTAAAATATGTAAGGGATGAACCATGATGAAGTGTGCGGTTTTATTAAAATAATGAATGACAACTTGCAATGCACCCCAATGCAATGCAAAGGATTACAGGCAGTCCCCCAGTTATGAACGAGATCCATTCCCTAAGTCTGTCTTTAAATTGAATTTGCAGGTAAGTCGGAACAATAGTAATGCAGTATACAATAATACAGTAATAATAAAAGCAACTATATACGGTACTGTACTGTACCTCCAGCTGACAAATTACTGAAGCCACACAATGTATTCATGGTCGTCACTAAGTTGTGTGTGTGTTCATTATTACAGACCATTGTATTTAACCCAAATTTTTTATATAATAGGCTTTATGGCAGTCTGTTCATAAGTACAAGTTGTCTGTAAGTCAGACATTCTTAACCAGGGGACTGCCTGTATTTTCGTGTAACTGCACACCTTGAAGCTGTTTATCCCGCTTATACCATGACTAACAAGCAAAAAACAATAAGAAGAATAAACTAACAACAATTCATTTTACAGAAGAAGATTATTTTTCGGTTAGCATTCAATAATATTCCAATGTGCTCTTAAAAATATAGTCCCTATAAGGATACAGTGTCTGGTTGGGCTACTCACTGGAAATGGCAAATGCAGTAAGGTATGATGGAAACCATCAACAGACAGGCACTTGCGTTTTGAAAACGCAAATTATGGAAAATTATGCTGATAAGAATGACTGTTTCTTTAAGTAAAAAGCACAGATTTTATATTAATGTCTAACAAAACATTAAAACGCATTAATATTAGGGCTGGGAAAATTAATGGGTTAACGCGGATTAATCCATCATCTTGATTAATCAGATTAAAATTTTTAACGCAATTAACCCATCTGCAGCGCAGAATGACTCAAAATCCCTGAAATGTCTCTGTCACCCCATTTCGGGCAGGTTTGGTGCATTCCATTTGCCCTGGGAACTCGTATTCTGAGTCGGATTCTGGAGTTTTGAAGCCAGAAGTAACGACATGCGCGCTCCCCTTTCTCAAAGATCCGAGAAATATCTCGGACAGCACAGAGGATCTCGAGTTCAGTATACAGGATGGCTGCGCCTTTTATCAACAGAAGGGAAAGTTGTACTTTTATACTGTTTAAGCACTACTTCTCATTTGTGGCATATTAAATCAGTCGCACACACTATACCGTCCAACTTATCTGTGGACGTGTTGCTACGGAGTTTTATACGTAAAGCACCGCACGTAGTGTGTTATCAACTGATATTGCTAACAATGGAAAATAACCAGGCTAGAATTGGATTTCATGATTAGTCGGTTTATTTGTCGGATTTACAGTAGTTCGGGCTAATTGTATGTGAACGAAGATAAAGACTATTTAAACTGAGGTACCTTAAATCCGACAAGTTGTCCGGCTAAGCAAAAAATCTTGCTTTTTGATATGGGTCCATGGTATTGCACTTCTGTGGCAGATGGAATGCATCCGACTCGTGTTCAAGATGTTCAATAAACATGTTAAGTGCATATGTGAATTATAACTTTGCTCTCAGCAGAAGCGGACGCACTTCTCTCCCTCTCCCTCCCCTTATCTTCCCTGCTTTGCTCCTCTCGTCTCGTCTAGTCTACTGTCTTACTGTCTATACTTGAGAGACTCTCTCAGCCCTGCTCTTCAAAACTAAGGAAATTATGGATTTGATCAACTGGTCTCTCAACACAATTGACACCATCTTCTCGACGAGAAGCCCAGGTTCAGGGGAAACTGACTGTCCTGCAGGAACATACGCAGCTGGCTACACGATGGACGGATGGAAGAAGTGGAGGGTCATGTGTCTGGCAGCTCTTTCCGTGGAGGACATCGAAGACATTTACCTATTCGGAACCATGATTACAGGTCTGATGCTGATTGGATTAGGCATTGCCCTGACTTATCGGAAATTGAAGAAAACGGTGACAGCCGCTCAAAGCCCAACTAGGCTGGCCGGGATGATTGACGGACTTGGCAGAGCTGTTGGCGCCCAGACTATGGCTATAGATCACAAACTGGATAACATCACTGTGTCTAATGACCGCAGATTTAATAACATCACCGTGACTATGGACCGCAGATTTGATAACATCACGGAGAGGCTCATGGCTCTGCAAAGAATTTTGGATGGCGGAGACCAGCATGGACATTAGAGGGGCTGCGAAATTACAGTTTCTCGCCTGAAAACCCAAACAACCCCATTCTATCTGCTTTTGGCTCCCCCCTAATCAGCACGGGCCTTGGCCAAGGCCTCTGCTGAGCTCAACAACTCCCCCTGAAGAACAAGGCAGTGAGACTCTCTTGCATTCCTCTCCCCCAACCACAAGGACACCCTACCCCCATCCCACGCCTTCGCCGCTTCATACCCCCAGCGTGAACGAGCGGGTCCTTGTACAGCGCCGTTTGGCTGCAGGACCGGACGCCTGTTTGTCTATGCTGGACTACCTCCACCTCCCCATTCCCCTCCCCTGTTGCAAGTCTCGACTTTAGTGTTGCGAGATGTGGTGACTATGTGCTTATTGCTGAGGTGTTTTTTTTCTGTTCCTATATTGTACTCCCTACTGGAGTACAGTCTGGGGGATGTTTTTTTTATTCACCTCCACTCTCCTCACATAATCTTGTTTCTCTGAGTTTTCCTATAGCCCCCTCTCTTCCTGACCTGTCTACCCCCTATTTGTGTATGCGATGTTTGTATATGTATGGTCAGGTTGATGGCCAGTTTTTTCGCTGGTACTTGTGACTAGTGACATGGTGTATTGCAACAACAATAAAGGGTTTCATCAATCAATCATATAGTATATTCCCTTTTTTCTTGAGTCTGTTTTGCTCATGCAAAATGAAATGCGATTAATATAGATTAAAAATGAATGATATTTAATCATGATTAATCGAAATTAATCCACAGCAACCCTGTGATTAATCTGATTTAAAATTTTAATCATTTGACAGCACTAATTAATATTAGGCTGCTGGAACTACCTGTGCTGTTACAAGAAAATAGTCAACACCCATGTGACATCTCTTGATCAATAAAAATAGAGTTTACCAAAGTCATGATATAACATATTCTAACTGTGTTAAATCAGGGTATTCAGATCCTTCTCAGGTGTTTTACTGTGGAACAAACTGAAGTGCTCTGTCTGGTCATTGTTCAGAAGTATGAAGTGATGGCTGTAAGTTACAATAAGTAAAGGACACAATTCACACCATTTCACCACTTAGTTATTTGTCTGTCATATCTGTGTCTTGCTACTTAAATTGAGAATGTGTTTAACAAAATAAAAATCTGAATCTACGTGGATTTTCCAAAGGCAGTGGAGCATAAACATCCAAAATGGCCACTTCCAGAGGTACAAGAACACAGGGATGCTGGTGTAGAGATGGTAGGTCAGTAGTATCTCTGCAAAGAGCAAGGTCACACTCAGGGACTCATAGACAGTGGAATAATACATACACAAGGCTAGAGTCTTTAATGGAAATCATGCAGCAGAGAAAATGGGAATTACTGGGTCTGCTTATAATTTCCTTGCTATGTGATAAATAAAGTGCAGCTTTAGGTTTACGGGGCTCAAAGTCTGTCTCCACTCTATGCGGAGAAGAATTTCTAACATATATAATTGGCATAACTGGTATGTCTAAATGTGTATATAACCTGTGGTGATTTGGCATCCTGCCCAGCGTATACCCTAAATGTGTGTTCTATGTGTTCCAGTCCCCACCTACAACCTTTCCCAGTACAAGCAGGTACAAAATGGATGGATGGACAAAAATGAAACTCATCAGTCGGGAGCAGACTATATGGTGATGTTTTTGTTTGCAGTTAGAGAAACGCAATACTGGAATCTGTAACTTGCAATTAGGATTTATTTTTAAAGAGACTTGGTGGGCATTTTACCCATCAAGCTTTTTCGTGAGTTTAACTCAGGCTTTAACAGAATAATGTAACATTTTGGTGCAAAAATGCAGAAAAGAAGGCCATAACTGGAAGCTAAAATGGCAAATATCTCAACGGCCACAGTGAACTT